TGTTATAAACCTGTATAAGGATCATTTTACAACCTCACTTTTATAATCTGCCCAATAAATATTTTATGAGCTGCTTGCCAGTGTGGAAGTAGGTTTTATATCAGACACGATGCCATAAGAATATTTAAAATCTAAATGTCTTTTTTTCCCCTCTTATACTTTTATTAAAAAACACTGCAAGCTATGATTGAGGTCTTACTCTTCCGTGTGATGGGACCTACCGACATAATATTGCAGGGGGGACGTTGCTTTCAAGATACTGATACAGATCCAGATCCTCAGCAGATGTAAATCAGTGGAGATCCAGGAGCTTTACAGATTTACTGAGTGTCTTGTCCAATTTCTTCATATCAGTGGGAGAGGAAGGGGGTAACAATGTCTTTATATCTTCACGATATGTGATATAGAAAAGATGTACACAATCTATATTATCTACAGCCGCCATCAAATTACACTGATGAAAGTCCATCAGGTATCTTTGCTTTGCATCTTTTACAATCAATATTAAACATAAATGCACATGTGAAAATCAAATTATACAACAACCATTCCCGTCAGCCCCTCCCCCCCGCCATGTCTTTTAAAAACAGAATATTTGGATACTTTTACTTGTCAATAACAACACATATGTGGGAGAAGATCAATATTGAAAGGCATGTCATGACTGATTATCCTGAAATCACATATTTTTGGATGGAATAGATCAAATATAATTTCAATACAAAGGTGGGGAGAAATAAAGAAAGAACACTATGCCTCTTTCTTGTAAAAAAAAAAAAACCTGTTAAAATTCCAGACGAGAAGAAGTACAATTTAAGCCAAGAATGGGGGTTTTATTGCTTATTTATCGGACTGGTTAAGACTGCGTATTGGTGACAGATACAGAAGATAACATGTAATGGACAGGTTTCCTATAATGGGTTGTTAGCAATGCTGAATCATTACTTGAGACCCGGTCATACACCAGCTTCAGTTTTACTTGGTGCCTTTTGTTGAGGCTTGTTTTAATGGTGCTTTCAGGGGTTCCAGAGCCTGTTTTATATGTTCACATGACATGCTGCTGCATATGTTATAGAACGCCAGAGATGGCCACAACCGAAAATAACTCTCTGAATATCACCCTAGCTAAGTGAAACATTAGCCACTTTGCACCAATGTATTCTTAGATCACTCTGTGTGAGGGATTAAAGGTTTTATTTCCAATTTTATAGTAGGCATCTCCATACAATTACATTTTCAGGAGCCCCGTTTAATGAGAAAGGTAGCATTAGGAAAGAGTACTTACAGACGAAGGATTCAGATGAGAGATTTGAGTCTGACAGAGAAACGAGCATGTTTGCTTTTAAAAGGTAAACAGGAGAAGGGTTTACACATGCTTTTCCTGAAAACAAAGCTAGTTGGAAAACGGCCCTTTTTTTGAATGGATAATTGGGATTTTGATTAACTACAAATTTCATGAAAATTACCTGCCTTCCTTGAAATTTTTTTATCCAAAAACTGAAATCCACAGAACTGAAAAGATTGTATTAGAAAATAAAAAAATACTTCATTTTGGGGCAATTTTCAGGTGAAAATATTAAACTTTTTGCAATACCAATATTTCATTTTTTGGTAGTTTCCAACTGAAAATATTTTGGTTTGCCAACACGCAACCAAAACTCAGTTTGGGGGTGTTTCAAGTTTTGACAAGGAATTTAAATTTTCTGTGGGGAAAATATGCAACATTTTCCAACCAGCTCTGTTCTGGATCTGGTGAACCCAAAACTCCCACTGAAGTATGGCGTTCACCCACTGGGTGGAGTTTGGGGCATGCAAGAAATGCAGGATTTGATTAACTTTCTTATGAAATGGAAGGCTTGTCTACACTAGAAAATTGAACAATTGCTGGTTGAATAGGTGGACAGCCACCACTGTAAGCCCAAAAGCAAGATTTGCCTTGCGGTTTTGAGCTAAGGACCATTTCAGTTTTGCCTCACGTCCACACTACTCCTGTACTACACCGCTAATGCCTCACATCTCGTGGCACAGTAGCCCTAAGCAGATGATTCTAGGAAATTTCAAAGGGCCTTTTAGGATACTTTGGGGAGCCCAAGGGAACTGCTGGAGACTAAGTCAAACTCCCATAATTCCCTAGCAGAAGCTCAACTAAGACAGCTAGCCAGAGAATACCAGATGGTGCCCTGTGGCTTATGATTGGATGTTAAAATAAACAACTGACAATATGTGGATCTTTAGGAAAATACAAATTGTTAATTTTGATTCGCCTATAAAAGAGGACAAATAAGTTCAGGATGAGTGTATATTTTAATGAGGCTGGTGCAGCATGCCCAGTGTTTTCCAAAACGATGTCAGCATATTGTTTACCAGTAGATAGACTGCAGACTTGGGTTTAGGCCTCTTCCTACTGCATACAGCCTAAGGCAGGTTATAAAGATCCACCAATCATCAGGAAAGTGCCTCAGCCCATATCCATTATCAGCAGACCCAGGAGGGAATGGCAGAGGCTTCTGGCCTTATCAGAGAGACTAGTCACTTCTGCCCTGGACATACGTAGCCAGGGCTGCCCCAAAACCACCCTACCCCATACACTTCCTAGTGCAAGGTTATAAAGGCCCTTGCCACTGGTACATGCCTCATGCTGCAACCGCCAGCAGCAGAGCCAAGGCACCAGGAAAAGCAGCTCCTTGCTGCCCAGGACTCCATGTCACAGTGACTTCCACCTGGCTACCAAATTACCCTCTGATTTCAGTGCTAGCTGCTCTCTGCTGGTGACAGTTCCCTGACCGTTGCCATGGTGGTGCTCTGCTCTGTGGGCTTCGTTGCTTACTGGAGACTCCACCTGTCACCTGCCAGCTACACCACCCTCAGCTCACTCCAACCATAGTCTCTCAACATGCCTTTCCTCCAACCCTCTCTATCTTCTTCTCTTCTCTGCCTCCCTTTTGTTTCCATGAGCTCCACGGCCTCCTTCCTTCCTTCCCCTGCCTCCCAACCTCCCGGGGGTAACGTGCTTTCCCACTAGCCTCCTTACAATGCTCTTAGGCCCTGATGTGGCCTTTGGATCTGTGGGTTGGACCCTTGCAACCACGTAGATTGACTTTCGTGAGACACCATATGGAGAGCACAGCTGCTGTTTTGCTCGGAGTGCTGGTTTCTTGGCTTGTTCATCTCGCTGTGGGTCTCACTAGACTGACTGCTGCCACCATGTTTCATGTGTCATGTGCTGGAGGATATCAGGACTCCATGTTTCTAAAGCTAAACTGTCTGTTTATTAAGAACCGTTTACAGAGGTTGCCAGGGCTCAGAACATGGACGGTCTGACCTAGAGGTCAGAGCCTAAAGTAGAGTCAGGGTCATGGTCAGGAGTCATGCCATAGGCCACAGCTAGAGGCAGAGGCAGGAGCCATGCCTGCGGGTTAAACTGGAGCCAGAAGTCACACCAAGGGACAACGCCAGAGTCAGCAACTGGAGAGCAAGGAAACAGGAGTGAGAACCAGGCAACCAGGCAGGAACTTGGTCTCAGCAGGCTGGTCGTCATCAGCAGACCAAGCTAGCAACTAGTTGCTCAGACAAGAGGTGGGAAAGGAACAGGAAGCTTTATAGCTGGTGGTGTCCAATCAGCAATCCACTGCTAGTCACCTGACCCTGCTGAGTCAGAGGGTGGAGCCTCTGGAAGTTGGGGTGCTAGCTACGGTTCCCTCATCAAACCTTGCAGTACGGTGGTACAGAGGGTAAGGCTTTTCTTGGCTCCTACATGGGTTTGAGACCCAGGGTGCCTGCCAGAGGTGCTACAACTGCATGCTGGCCATGTACAGGTAGCCTGCCTTCCTCCTGCAGCCTGTACGCCACCTTACAGGCAGATTTTTATAGGGAGGATCCCACCCACACGGATAAGATCCTTGGTTCATAGGTGATGAGTTTGAAAAACTCTGGTACCAGCTAGATATTGTATGTTCAGAATACATATTTGCCCTGATCCTGTCATCCACCACGCGCCCTTGTGCCCATGTCACGCTCCATTGATTCCATCTCCGTAACGGCAGCAGCTGAGGTATCCACGTAATCCCAGAGCGCCAGCGAGAGGGAGGGGGAGCCACACAAGCAAGTGGTGGTCATGCCGAGGCAGAAGCAGCCAAACACTAATCTCAGGATTCGTGCGGGTCAGGTGACTAACACGCCAAGAAGGGAATGCGTGTGCGATGGTGCCCGTGCATAAAGGCTGGAGCTGCCCAGAAAACACACTTAAGTTCTGGGACTGCATGAACAATCTGTGAAGGTGGCGAGGGTCCGCTGGACAAGTCCCATTCACTTTGTGCTCCCTCCTTTTGGCCTATCTGTAAGATGGAGATAACGGCAGCTGGTCTCCCTTATAAAGAGTCTGAGATCTAAAAGTGCTGTATAAATGCTAACCATGATTGTTGTGTTTTATCACATTCCTGCCAATTGTCTTTCCTGTTCCTCCTTATCCCTTTCTTTTTAATAATAGCAAAAATTAACAATATTTTCAGCTGGGATTTTTAAAAAAAAACCAAAGGATTTAGGGGCACACTTCCAATTGAAAGTCAGTGGGCCTTGTAGATGGAGGCACTGTGGCCTAGTGGCTAGTGCACAGTGTTGGGACTCAGGAGAATAACATTCTATTCCTGGCTCTGCCACTGGCCTGCTGGGTGACCCTGGGCAAATCATTACACTACTCTGTGCCTCAGTTTCCCCATCTGTGAAATGGGGATAGTGATACTGCTCTCCTTTGTAAAGCATTTTGAGATCTACTGCTGCTAAGCGCAAGGGAGTGTCCCTCTGACAAATTCAAAAAACCTCCTTCTCAATAAATAAAAGACAAAGGGGAATATTTTGATGACATAACACTGGCATACCATTTCTGCAGATAGACTTAGGTATGTTGGCTCCCTGTGAATCTGTTCTGGGTTCTTGTGCTTCATGTGAGTGACTTAATGAAATGGTTTTGGATATCTGATTGATCGACGCTTATTCTGTTCCAGGCGATGTGGATACAGCAAAGCTAAACAAGATCCAGAAGAAGAAAAGATGCACTTTCATAATGGCCATAGTAAGGGAAGACTTAAAATACATATATGCATTTGTGACTCAGCTCCTATTTCTGGCTTTGCATGGTACTAAGAATAATGAATAACAATCGAGATTTCTTCAGCAAATGGTCAGTTGGTATCCAGTAGAATCAGTTGATTCTGTTATGCAATAAGGCCCTGATCCTGCAAAGACTTAAGAACATGGCTAACTTTATGCATAAAATAGTCCCGATTGACTTCAATGGGAGTACTCGTGTGTGTAAAGTTAAGCATATGCATAAATCTTTGCAGGATTGAGGCCCAAATGAGTGGTTTAATTATAACTTCCCTTTTTAGTCAGTAATATTTCAACAATTTTATTGCTTTCCTCAGTCCTCTACTACATGACACACACAATTTTTAATCTTGCTTGGTTAATCCATTGACGCCAGGCACTTTTGTAGTTTGGAGGAATGAGCACAAGGTTTGGAACCTGAAGGTTTTTCTCTTTGCCAACAATGTGGACATAGCCCACCTCAGCTCTCTGGCCCAGTTTCCCAGCTGTATAATACTTCTTCTTCTGCCCTAGGGTGTTGTGAGAATTAATTAGTTAACAATTGTAGGTAGACTTGAACATGTGAAGTACTACTGTAGCCCTTCTATAAATCTAGGGTCAGACTTTACAAAACTTTTGTGAAGTGCTGTGGGATCTATAGATGAAAAGAGGGAGGTGTTACTTATCTAAAGCATTTTTACCTTGTCTGCACTAGAGTATATTCAAATCTCTATCATTGCTATTTAACACAGGCAGCAGGAAGCCAATCAATTCAAGGACTGCACTGTGAACCTCTTACTCAAACTGATGAGTAGTTACTCTGCCAGTAGCTTCAGTGCTTCTCAAATAATAATAACAACAATTCTTTTGAAAGTACCTTCCCACTCCTCAGTCCCATGGAAAAAGCCTATTATTGATTTTCTTTATTATTATTATTACATAGAAGTGCAACCCTGAAGGTGTGTTGTATTGCAAACATGTGATCTGGGCAGTTTCTAATTCATGATAACACTATTTGAACTAATGTAGTTGATTAGGTGATAGGCGTAAATCATTGCAGCTCCACAGGCTGAGGGTGATGGTTTCTTTGGACCAGATTTTCAAACGGACTCAGCAACTCCTGTTGTTCTCAATTGGAGAGGAGATTTTCAAAGATTAGGAGCACAAATTAGTCAGGGGAAGAAGTCTCCCCCCATGTGTCTAAATGGGAACTGAGCTCTTTTGAAAATCTGATCCTTCATATTTCTTCCCTTCTGGCCTTTTACATTCAGTCCACCTTTCGCATGGCTGGGTTGTCCACCTAGGCTGTCTTCTCACTATCGTCCTTATTCCATAGCATTGAGCACCTCATAGAGTTTTAATGTCATAACATACCTGTGAGGTGGGGCAGTATTTTCAAGTTTTATACATGGGGATCTGAGAATAAGATCCAGTTTTGTAAAGGTAATTAAGCATTGCTGTGCTCAACATTGCAATGCCTAATGGATTTAGAAACCTACATCTCATTTTTCAAAAGTGATTTAAGCACTTAGGAGTCTAAATGCCATAGACTGTCAGTGGGATGTTGGCTCCTGAAGGTCTAAACACCTTTTGAAAATGAGAGTTAGGCTCCTAAATCAGTTAGATTTTGCAACACGGAGCACAGCAGGGCCTAAATACCTTCAAAAATCTGTTACATGCAGTGTTGCTGTAGCCGTGTTGGTCCCAGGATATTAGCAAGACAAGGAGGGTGAGATAATATCTTTTATTGGACCAACTTCTGTTGGTGAGAGAGACAAGCTTTCGAGCTCACACAGAGCTCTCCTTCATGGGTGAGATAAGACCCGAAGAGCTCTGTGTAACCTTGAAAGCTTGTCTCTCTCACCAACAGAAGTTGGTCCAATAAAAGACATTACCTCACCCACCTTGTCTCTTTAAAAATCTGTCCCTAAATGATTGGCCCGAGTCACACAGGGGGTCTGTGGTGGTGCAGGGGACTGAACCCAGATCTACTAACTCAATTCTAACACTCTAGCCACTGCTCCAGCCAGCACTTATATAGCCTATAAGTCTGTATATCATTTTAGCTGAACAACACCCCGCGGTTTTGAATGTAATAAGGAAAGTTATGTGTGTACCATATTCTTCTTAAATAATGCAATGTAACATTTTTCCGGTAGTGCTTACCTGCCTTGCATTTCAAGATACAAAGTATTAAAAAAGTGTTCAGGTATTCATTTTTGCATGAAAATCGGTTTTCTTTGACAGTGTTCTCCAGTGTGAGTAAAGTCAGCACAAAAGACAAACTTAGTGTTATCCTCAATCATCTCTACTTGTGCCATTTACATTTTAATTTATGTTTACAGTTAAATTGCCAGGAGTAAGGACTTATATTGACCCACATACCTATGAAGACCCCAATCAAGCCGTCCATGAATTTGCCAAGGAAATTGAAGCTTCCTGCATAACAATTGAAAGAGTTATCGGAGCTGGTATGGAGCTATGTTTAATGACCATCTGCTAACTGCCATTAACATCCTGCAGGAGCTTATCGCATTGCTGTTCAAAATCACAGAACAGGCCGGTCAAATATTTGTATTGTGTATGCCCATTGTGAGTGGTTACCTTAGTATACGGTATGTGTGAGACCACTACTGGAATACCATGTCCAGTTCTGGGGTCCATGCTTTAAAAAGGTTGTTGAAAAATGGGAACGGGTTCAGAGAAGAACTCTGAAAATGAATTGTGGTGTAGGAAACACACCTTCCAATGTTGTCTGCTGCATTGCTATAGGCATATTGATCCCAGGATATGAGAGAGACAAGACAGGTGAGGTGGTTTTGGGTTTTTTTCCCATCATTTTTTATGTGAGTTCATCTGAGAGCATAGTGATAGAAAAGACAAAAATGCCCTATCACCCGTGGGCAAACACTTTTCACAAAGCTCCATATCTTATATTTCAGTACACATCTTCAAAGGAAACCTGCACAACATCTCAAAAAGACAGTCCTGGGAACTTAATTTCGTAACTCTGCTAGACACCAAAGACCACGGACTTAACAAGGACACTGGTTTTATGTCTCATGACCACAATTTTTAGCACACCAGACTGTCCGCTACCCTTAACTGCCCACTTCAAACCTTTTATATATAACAATCTAACCCTCAATTGTCCACTTCCTTTCAGGTGACCACCTACAACATGTTAGCCCTTATGCTTAACACGTTGTATTTAGCTCAGACATTCTGATTTCCTTCCCCAGACCTGAAGATCTCAGTGTAGCACTAAAGCTGTACTTTCCACCAAGAGAAGTTGGTCCATTAAAAGATAGTACCTGACCTCAACTGCCTTGTCACACACCTTATAATGAAGACTAAAGGAGCTCTGTCTATTTAACTTACCAGAGACAGGGTTCAGAAGTGACTTGATCATGGTCTATAATTACCTACATAGGAAGATCATAGAATCATAGGACTGGAGGGGACTTTGAGAGGTCATCTAGTCCAGTCCCCTGCATTCCTGGCAGGACTAAGTATTATCTAGACCATCCCTGACAGGTGTTTGTCTAACCTGCTCTTAAAAATCTTCAGTGATGGAGATTCCACAACCTCCCTAGGCAATTTATTCCAGTGATGTCTGATACTAGAGGGTTCTTTAATCTAACAGACAAAGGGATAACCTGATCCGATGGCTGGAAGTTGAAGTTAGGAAAATTCAATCTGGAAATAAGGCAGCTTTTAAAGTGTGCGGGTCTTTAACCATTGGAACAACTTACCTAGGAATATGGTCAATTCTCCATCACTTGGAGTCTGTGAAATGAGGTTGGGTGTCTTTCTAAAAGAAATACTCTTGTTCAGCCACAAGATTCTGGCCTCTATAACAATCTCTAGTGCATGAAATTCTATGGCTTATGTTACACAGGAGGTCAGACTAGATAATTGTAGTCGTCCCTTGTATGTCATCCTTGTTTATCATTAACCGTCATTTATTGTTACTAATATACTGAAATGTCCATCAGTGTGCAAGGTGCTTTTCAGACATACAGTAATTATTTACTTTGTTCTCTTCAGGTGAATTTGGGGAAGTTTGTAGTGGGCGTCTGAAACTGCCTGGAAAACGCGAGTTTCCAGTGGCCATAAAAACCCTCAAAGTGGGCTACACTGAAAAACAAAGACGAGATTTCCTGGGGGAAGCAAGCATCATGGGACAGTTTGACCATCCCAACATCATTCACTTGGAAGGTGTTGTCACAAAAAGTATGTACCCACTGCTGTAAACTTTCGCTCATTGATGGAGCAGATAGGTCAATATTAGCTATAATCCCCGGGAGTCAGGAGAACTTGTTCAACTTTAAAATAAAGGTCACTAAACTTGTCATCTCTCACAAAAACGACCAGGAAGGAACATTGTAGTTACTAAAACTACAAACTAAAAGAATCACAGGTACTGTACACACACGATGAGAGGTTCTCCCTATCCTGAAGAGTTTACAAGCTATTTAGACAAGACAAATGCATAAAGAGGTGAAGTGACTTGCCCAAGGTCATCCAGCCAGTTAGTGACCAGAGCTGGGAAAAGAACCCAGGTCTTCTAAGTTGTAGTATTACAATAAAGTTATCACGATTGGATTGGCCGGGTTACCCAGAACATGAAGGGATGGTGTCATGCTCCGCCTTTCCCTTCCTTCCTCCCACTCTGCTGTGATGCAGTTAAATAATGCAGCAAGTTCCCAGCCTGCAATGCTGTGAGTAAACTTATTTTTGTTGCACTGCGTGGCCCCTTTACTGGGGATAAAAGATGCCAGTCGGCGCTCTGGTGGCAGGGGAGTGGGGCAGAAGCACATCTGAACAGGGTAGGACTATGAATAACCTATACTAATGGCCTGTCTACATTATAATCAGAACCGTAGCACTGGAGCTGGGGCAGCATGAGCAGCAGTACAGGCTGGTCACTCGAATACATACCCAGGGTCCCAGGTGGGCTTGTACAATCTCTGCTACGACCTGGCTTCAGTGCTGTTGTTACTCAAGCTAGCTCCACAGGTACTGCACTTCAGCCACTGAGTCTCTTGGGCTTCTGGTCCGTTGTGAACTGACTCCACTTGTATTAAGGCCTTAGCGAAGGTCCTTTCTGGATTTGCCTTGTCCTCGCCACTATTCCTGCAACTATTCAGGAGAGAGTGGAATATTTTACAGGCATAGTTTTTAATTCAGTGCCCTTGGCTCACCTGTAATCAAACTTCAAACTAAATGAACTAGAGTTGCCCTGCCTTAGGTTAACAGTCTGTTTCTTTAAGAAGAGGGAGGATCCTGAAAGAAGTAGCTCTGAATAATCTAATGAAATTCTGGATCAGCTGTTGCGTTCTACATTCAAAGTCCCCTTTCCCTTGGTAACTTCATACTCACCGTTGGTGTAAGCCTGTTTGTTCACTGCAGTTGAAATTTAATATATATAGTCTCTTCGGGTCCCAAACCCCAACATTTTCAAGGGCTGGAGGAAAAATAATTAATTTAAATTCAAAATCAAAATGTAATCTAAATTTAAGTAATGTAAAACCGTTTTTACCTTCACTTTCAATAGTCCATCCAAACTTGTAGCCACTGAGCCCTTTCTTGGGTCAGATCTTTATCAGGCTAAAACTCCATTTTTAAAGAAAACCAAATCTTTAAATATAAACAACAAATACCAACGAAGTCCTGGATTATTTACCTAATTAACACACAGTCAACTGAAAAATAGAGTGAATTCTGGATAATAAATATGGGGAGAGTTTTCAGACGTGCCTAAGGGATTTAGGAGCCCGAGCCTTATTGGAAGTCAGCGAGAGGTTTGTGGCCCTGAATCCCATAGGTGCCTAGATAAATCAATGGAGTGACATTTTACTCTGTGCAAATGCAAGGGAAGCAGGAGGAATGGTTCGGGTGTTAGCCTTGGACTGGGAGGACCTGCATTCCATTCTGTGTTCCATCAAGGCTTTCTGTGTGACCTTGCATAAATCACTTCATTTCTCTGAGCTTCCGTTTCTCATCAGTAAAAATTCTCTGAAGGATGTTACATTAGTTCAGAGACTTGGGTTCAATTCCCTACTTTGCCACAGGCTTCTCACTTGTCTCTCGGTGCCACAAACAGACATGTCTGCTTCACAAAGCTGATCAGGTCCTGAGCTACATTCATGCCCCTTTTCACTGATCTACCAGTCTATGCTTGACGTCTGTGTAAATGACATTCACGCCCACTTCAAGTCCCCTTCCTACTGCCCGAACGGAGCCATAGTGCAAATAGGAATCAGGGCAGTTGATCAGGAAAGCCAGCACTTGCTGAATCTCACTCTGTTTGTAACTTTAGTTTCATGCTGGCTGGGATGATGCTAATTTATTCTTCAGTTTCTCTCAATTTGCAGCAGACTGATAATGAAACATGAGTGCTAGGAAGTCTTCTGACTGAGACTGAAGTTGGGAGCGTGAAGTAGTGTCAGATTGAGCTGCCATCCTTCCTCTAACATGGCCTGTTAGTGTCAGGGATAAGGGACCCAACTTTACAGTCCCTTGCAATCTGTCCTTAAACGGGGCACACCATAAATGCAGTGATGTCTGCAGAGATTTTATGACCGATGACTGACGAGCCTGTCTTTTACCTTCAATTACTCATTTATGATGCACAGAGACATCTTGGTATAATGCATGCACACACGGGCTTTGGGGAGTTTCACGGGCTCTTTTTATTTAAAAGACTGGCTTTTTCACATTAAAAACCAACAACCTTTCAAAGAATAGCAGAAAGGGTTGCCCTGAGCAACCCTTAACTTTTCTGGAAGAAAGAAACCCCAGGCCTGGTCCCGCAAGGTGCTGAGTACTTCCTCTATAGGGGCTGTGCTCTGCCAGCTCTTCCTTGTATGGGAGGAAAGGGCAATCTACACTCTTCTGGGCAAAAAAAGCTGCCCCACTCCTACAGAAGAAGTAGGAGAGCAGTGCAGAAATACGGTTAAGTTTCTTACAGCTGTTTCCAGCAGATGCTGCTATGTCACCAGTGGTACTGATTTAAAGGAGAACAGGCTCAGATCTACACAGGGACTTAGGCATTGTAGAGCTTCCCTCATAACCCTTAGCCCAGTGGCTAGGGTACATACCTGGGATGTAGTGGACCCATTTCAATTCCCCACTCTGCCTGATGAGGAGAAGGGACTTGCACAGAAATGCCCCCTCTCTGAGGTGAATGCTCTGCCTATGGGATATTATGATATGGGACTCCCTCAGTCTCTCTTGTTCAAGCCATCACACTTTAATGAAATATTAATTGGGCCAGAGGACAATTGAGGATCGCTCTATAGACCAGTGGTTAGAGTACTCACTGAGAGGTAATAATTTATCGTTCTACTTCAGGGAAGGCAGACCTGCCAGGTCAGAGTTTCTCCCCGCAAACAGTCTTAGGGCTTTGTAGAGAACTTTGACTTGGGGAAGCCGAATGGGGCCGATGAATAGGGAGGCACAGAGCTCTGTTCCAAGTTCCATCACAGACTTCGTATGTGATGTTGGGCAAGTCACTTCCCCTATCGATACCTCAGATTCCCTCTCTTGCACATGGAGATTACTATACACACCCTCCTTCCTGAAGCACCTAAGATTGACAGAGGACAAACACCAAATGTGGTTATAATGGCTATAGCAACACCGCTGTTGAGGGAGCGGTGGTGGCAAAGGGTTGATGGTTCGGGTACTAAAATGCTATTAAAAGAGCTGAGTTCTGTTCCAAGTTTTGCCACTGATCATCCAGTGAGCACATCTCTGTTTCCGCTCCTGTCCTTATTTGTTTAGATTATAAGATCTTTTGTGGCAGAGACTGTGTTTGTACGGGGCCCTGATCTCATGTAGATCTCTGAACTGCCACAGTAATATGAATAATAATGCAGCTGCCAAGTCTTTAACTCATACAAGGGGGTAACTCCAGTGCTCATTAAGAAATTAAAGAAATGCAAACCCACAATGCTCCAGGGTCGTATCTGTACGGCACTCAGTGTTTTGATTGATGAATACACAATTATGTTTATTTACATAGATTATTAAACATAAATTAGTCAAACAATTAACATGACAGGAACGTACAAAGATTAAGATCAACTTAAACAGCAAAATAGGAAATTATTTTAAGAGCAGTTACCTTTATAATCATGTTATGACATGCAGCAGCTTTAGCTGATCATTTCTACGCGAGTCATTGTAATGCAGTTTAGAAATAATTGATGGTTTCTCTTTTGTCTGCGCTTCATGCTAGTTAATGGAAATTGATTTAAATAAAAAATAATAATAAGATATAAGATTTTATAAGATTTCATTGAATTTACAAGGCCTGGAGCAAGCCACACTAATTATTGCTATGTCGTTGTGGCAAGCTAGCGAGAAATTAGATATAAAAACTGAGCAAAAACTATATATAATTACCATTAAAATGACTCGGGCATGAAAATTAATCAAATGGAGTTGGAAAAACATTCTTATTCCTACCAACTGTTGGAAGCCAGTCTTTTTTGAACTTTTGTTTGGATCACCTTTTTTCTTACTCCCTGAATTAGGCCATCTTTTTAGTATACACATCTGGAGAAAATCCTTCCTTTTTCTGTTACCGTATTCAGTAGAGAGTATACTTAATATCCACAGCCAAATTCTGGCTCTAATTGCAACTCCAGCAGGGTTCCTGGGTGTGATTGGGATCACTTCTTTTTGAACATAGAACCTGGTGTACTGAGTCAGCTTGTCCATCCTATAGTCTAATGCACATGGTCCATCTACTTCAGTATTTTGTCTTTAACGGTGGGCAGCACCTGGTACTTCAGAGGAAGGTGCAAAAAACAAACAAGCAAACAAAAAATCCTTAGCAGGCAGTTCTGATGATCTGCCTCCACTAGTTAAGGATTGGTTTAAACCCTAAAGCATAGGGTCTTCACTTCCAAAGTAATTTTTTAAAAATGTGGTTGCTATTTTAACTCTGGATATTGTTGTTATCCACAGAGGTATCTAATCTTCTTTGAATCCTAAGTTCCTGGCATCAAAAACATCCTATGGCAATGAGTTCCATAGGCTAAAAATTAAAAAAAAAACTATCTGATAACAAAGAGCAACGGGCATTCCACATAGTCACCAGTCATGTTTTTCCCACTGATTATTGCCTTCACCCGACGCACTGTTCCACCCGGGCAAAAGAGCTGGACCATAGCACTCAACTCTCTGAACTCACAACACTCATGATGAAGCACAAATCATCGGGCCAAGTTTGTCCCACCAGCATCACTGGAATTATACCTGGAATGAATATCGCCCATTTGTACAAGAGGTCACGTCGTTTAGACCTCATGTAGTACATTTTCTCATCCGTGTGTGTGATGACATTCCTTCGCACAGCCCTGTTTTGGAGCTTGAAGAGGGTTTGGGGGTTGTGATTGGAAGTTCTACTTCCTCCCTTTTGTGCCAGTTTTGGTAGGTCTTTGCACAGGTTCTTCATTACCTCATACAGTTCAACATCCCGCAAGAGTGGCCACTCTGCTTCCTTTTCCTCCTCCATCTACTTAGCTCCCCACAATGGTTAGGAAGCTTCATCTGGTGCAATGGAACCTGGGTTCCTTTGGGCACAGCATGTTTCATGGGCTTTCAGCTCACCCAAGGAGAAAAGACAAAGTTGGTGGTTAAGGCCCTGGGCTGGACGCATGATCTGGTTCTATTTCTGGCCCTTCTCCTGAATCCCTGTACGGCCGTATCACCTAACCTCCCTGTGACTCAGTTCCCATCTCTAATATGAGGATAACAATATTTCCTTTACCCCACCCATTGCAAGTCTTGCCTATTTAGACTGGAAGCTCTTTGGGGCAGGGACTGACTCTCGTGTATCTGTACACGTTTGTGACTGACGGATGGGTTCAACATGGCTGTGTGTGCACATTGCGAACCAGACTGGACAAACTCTGGGGGTTTTCTTTTAGATGAATTGCAGCTAATAAACTTGTGATCTTCCTTTTTTCAGGTAAGCCAGTAATGATAGTGACAGAGTACATGGAGAATGGCTCTCTTGACACATTTTTAAAGGTAAGGAGGACTTGTGGCACCTTAGACTAACCAATTTATTTGAGCATGAGCTTTCGTGAGTTACAGCTCACTTCATCGGATGCATACTGTGGAAACTGCAGCAGACATTCTAAAGGTAAGATTCAAAATACTCAGATGGTTTTTCTTGGAGGACAGTGGGGTCTCCTGGAAAGGTCATTCCCCCGGGAAATACTGTGAACTGCTGGTGGAGTTACAGCTCCCCAAGTCCTAGCTCCATCTACCCCAATACAAATATATAAAATAATAAATAAAATACAAAGCGTTCTTTTCCTTTCTGTGAGGAGCGCTGCATCTAAAAGCACTGGTTTTCATGCCTTCCTTTACACAACTGCAGTTTGGCACCAAATCTCCAAACGACCCTGTGGAGTAAAGGTTTACATGTGTTTGGATGGCACTTTGTCAGTAGTGAGGATTAGATCACGTGGGCAGGACACACGGGGGGGGTGTTGCATGTGACCGGTGTTGTTTACAACCTTGACTCAAAGGGATAGTTATCCGTGGGGTTTTTACATATGTAACCCTTCTGCCAGGTGGAGCCAGCAGCAAGCAGGGCCGGTTCAATATCTAGGGGCTCCTTTTCAAGCATACAACACAGAACCGGCTCGAGCCCCCACCGAGTGACCTGAGAAAATTACACAGCACCCCTGAGTGCCTCTGAAAGGCAATACTTCCCCACTCGCAAGCACAGAGTCTATGTGTAGAAAAGAAGCTTTCAACGAAAGGAGAGAAATCACCCAACATTAATTAGGGAAAATGCCACAAGCAGAATTCATAAACATATAACTGTGAGCAGGACACCCGCCCCAGAGTGCATGGGGCAGTGCCTTCCTCCTCATGTTCTTGAGTTCTACAACCAAAAGTCCCTTTACTGTGCTCGCCTCTGCTCCCTCACCAGACCCCACTCACAGTGGTTGTCCTTGGATAGTGAGGACCCAGGGTTCAGAGGTGCATCTGTGTGAGTTCACCTCCCACCCGGGAAAGAGGGCACCTTGCTTGCTCTGCCATCTGAGCACTTGCTCTGCCCGGCTGCCCTGTCAGCCACTCATTCCATGGGCAACCCTGCCAGCCGCTCATTCCACTGGCCGCCCTGCCAGCCACTCACTCCACTGGCCACCCTGCCAGCCACTCACTCCACTGGCCGCCCTGCCAGCCACTCACTCCACTGGCCGCCCTGCCAACCACTCACTCCACTGGCCGCCCTGCCAGCCACTCACTCCACTGGCCGCCCTGCCAACCACTCACTCCACTGGCCGCCCTGCCAGCCACTCACTCCACTGGCCGCCCTGCCAACCACTCACTCCACTGGCCGCCCTGCCAGCCACTCACTCCACTGGCCGCCCTGCCAGCCACTCACTCCACTGGCCACCCTGCCAGCCACTCACTCCACTGGCCGCCCTGCCAGCCACTCACTCCACTGGCCGCCCTGCCAGCCACTCACTCCACTGGCCGCCCTGCCAGCCACTCACTCCACTGGCCGCCCTGCCAACCACTCACTCCACTGGCCGCCCTGCCAGCCACTCACTCCACTGGCCGCCCTGCCAGCCACTCACTCCACTGGCCGCCCTGCCAGCCACTCACTCCACTGGCCGCCCTGCCAGCCACTCACTCCACTGGCCACCCTGCCAGCCACTCACTCACTCCACTGGCCGCCCTGCCAGCCACTCACTCCACTGGCCGCCCTGCCAACCACTCACTCCACTGGCCGCCCTGCCAGCCACTCACTCCACTGGCCACCATGCCAGCGACCTGCTCGCCGCTCTCATGGGCTGCTCCTGCCGGCCGCTCCTGCTGCCCGCCCGTCAGTCAGGCAAATTCTGTTGCTACCTGCCTCTCTACTGTGACCTCTGCAGGTTAGTCTCTTAGGACATGTCTTCACTAACAACGGTAAAGTGCTGGCCGCGGCAGCGCTTTAACGTGGCTTGTGTAGTCACGGCGCAGCACTGGGAGAGAGCTCTCCCAGCACTGTAAAAAACCACCTCCACGAGGGACGTAGCTACCAGCGCTGGGAGTGAGACTGCCGGCCCTCGTGCACTGTCTACACTGGCACGTTACAGCGCTGAAACTTGCAGCGCTCGGGGGGGGGGTGTTTTCACACCCCTCAGCGAGACAGTTGCATCGCTGTAAAGTGCCAGTGTAGACAAGCCCTTCATGGTTTTCAGCTCTTAGCATGCTGGGCACACACAGCTCTTAGCATGCTGGGCAGACACACGGTCCTACCACAACTGATTTCAGCTCTGATTGAGCATTTAAAATAACAAATTGCTCCTAATGAAGCCTATTTAGCCCTTTCTTTGAACAGTGGGGAGGAACAGGTTAACCGCTTAGTGAGAGTCCACATCTCCTGGTTGGGACACCTGTCCCCATCCCACTTACTTTCACAGGGGTCTGGCATTTGAGCTCCTGGCTTAACGAGGTCTTTTCAGCTAAGGGTAGTCCCCTCATTTGGGACAGGCTAAGCACAGTTCTGCTCCCCTTTATTCATACAGTAATGACAGCACCATTGATAACAGCATTTCATTACCCCTGCATTCAGTAGTAAAGTGATTTGTAACCCAACCCCAGCCAAAGTTGATTACTTTGAGCACCACAGCTGTCTGCTGGATATCTAAGCAGAGTAGGTGTGTTCATGTAAATACAGTTGCTCCTGAAGTCTCTCCCCCTCCTAGCTAGCTGTCAGGGGAGAATTCATTCTGACCCTGCTTACGTCTACATACATATGTGTGTACGCTATAAGTGGTTCATTAGGTAATTCCCTAATCATGAGTTAAGAGGTCTGTTGTCTCAGCTTAGTCTCTAGAGAACACTATTCCAAACAATGACACCTTCAGGAGCCTCTGGGCCAGAGCATCATGGTCATTAATTATGAATTCCCCTATTTGCCTTTGCATGAGCCTTGCCCCTGACTCTGTTATTTGTGCATGTGTGTAACTCAAGGTGCGAAGAACAATGCGCACTGTGATTGAAATCCCCCCTTATCTTTGCAGAAGAACGACGGGCAGTTCACTGTCATTCAGCTGGTTGGGATGCTGAGGGGCATCGCATCAGGGATGAAGTACCTATCAGACATGGGTTACGTACATAGAGACCTTGCTGCCAGAAACATCCTCATCAACAGCAATTTAGTGTGCAAAGTGTCTGACTTTGGGCTGTCCAGAGTCCTAGAAGATGACCCTGAAGCAGCATACACAACAAGGGTAGGTTCTGGGGATACTGGACCATTGAACTAAAGGAAATGATGGAGACGGCCAAGTGGCACTTTCAAAAGTGCTCACACTCACAGTTGGAGCCAGATTTTGAAAAGGGCTCAGTGTCTATTAGTTGTCATTTCGCTTAGGTGCCTACATTGGCCCTGAACGCTTTTGAAATCTGGCAGTATATGTAGGGGCCTAAGCAGGAGCTGTTGGGTGCCGAGCTCTTTTGAAAATGGGGCTCTACGTTGTCAAAAAAACAAAGCTGCACACAGAAGAAGGTGGATGTGGAGAGAATCTGTCTGACAGCTCAATCCTGGGCAGACTTCAGTTGACTTATTCTGTTTTGTAACAGAAAATGCACCCAGTAGCTGGAGGTGGCATAACTTTGCATCGGTGTGAGAAATGAGGTAATGCAGTTGAGATTTTTTTTCAAAATAGAAGAATAACACTGGGCTCTTACATCCCTGTTTTGGCAACTAAGTTAACTGCCTGATTTTCAAAAGTACCCAGCATCCCGGTTGTTCCTGTGGTCTTCAGGGTGGACTGCTGGGTGGTCAACACTTGTGAAATATCAGGCTGCTTATTGAGATACCTAAATATGGACTTAGAAGCCTAAAATTAAGCTCCTTTTTGGCCCTTGCCTGTTGAATATAGTTGGAATATAGTCTGAACTGAAAAGGGAAGTGATACAGAGCCAAAAGGGAGTGAAAAAGGGTGTGAACGAAGCCCATCCATATTGCTCCTTTCTCCAGAGTAAAAATCCAAGTTGGGATTCTGTGGTTAAAACATGGGCAGGTCCTAGGCACAGGAGGCAGGTGGCCAATCCATGTGATTGACAGGCTAAGAGTGCTGCATATCCCACGTTTCGGGGGGTCCAGAGTAGAATTGCTTATTGAGACAGAACTTGCTAGAGGCAGGCAGCTCGAACCCAAGCAACAAAAATCAAGGACAGACCCTTGCAGACCACCAAAAGAAATCCCACAGAGAGTCATGCAAACAGGCTAGGGCCTCCATAAGCTCTGATACAGGGAGACCTATTCATCATATCTATCATAATATATTAATATACACAGTCAGTATTGAAAATGTACTGGAAACATTGTGAGAATGAGACCTTTTGTAATAGTGATAGCTGGATGAAATCCTCTTATCATAGCTTCAGTTCATATTTATCAACATGTACATGTACTTTTTTTTACACGTATGATTAAAGAATCATTTTGTAAGGAACACACATTCACCATCTGTGCTCAGAACCCTCCAGTAACTCAGAGCCACCACCTTATCTGGAGATTTCACCCTAGAAAAATGTTTCAGGAGTTGGCAACTGGAGTCTACCTGTACATTGGAGGATCAGAACCTATTGAGGCATATAAGGGTTTCTTTATTTGGCCAGATCTTCATCTGGAATAAACAGATATGATATGCTGAGTGCTGCTCGCTAAGAATCTGGCCCCCACTGGCTTATGGTTTGAACCAATAATGCTTCACTGAAGAAAACTTGTGAGAATAAGGTTTTCTAAAAATATACCCCAAATTTTACTGTTTTTGCAGAGGTAAAAATTGTTTGGAGGGATTCCCTGAATATCCCCCAGCCTTGCAGGTAGCTCATTCCTGGGAGCAAGGGCCTTCAAAGGGGGGCGTATTTTGATAGAATTCAAGGAAAACAATTCTTTAAACCCTGACTAAAATCCTCTTTTTAATCCTGAAAATTTTAGGGATGATTTATATTATTATGATTAAAGTATTATAATTTGCATAAAGTTAAACATCGAAAAATTAGAAAGCAGGGAGAAAACCCTAAATCTGAAATCCCTAGATATATGCAGGGAGATGTTACTTATGCAAGAAATATTACAAAAAATCAATAACAATCAAAGAGAGAAGGAATCGTTGTTGTTTTTGTCACTCATCTGGTCTCCCCATCTCTTGTGTAGGCCTCTATCCTGCAATCAAATTTGCATTGGCTGACCTTGCATTCATGTGGAACCTTGTTGATTTCAGTGGCCCACCTACCCGGATCTAACTTCAGGATTGGGGTCAAAGATCTGTAGAATAAAATCCAGCCTCCTGCCCTGTAATTTGCATGAGGTTCACATTACGCCAGAGTCACCTAGAGCTTTTAAGGCATTTGTTCCTTCCGCATTTGCTGTCAGAGACTCTTGAAAGTTCACTGTATTGATTGCTTGAATGCTTGGCTTTTCCCCCTACCAACCAGCGCAACATAACGGAGATGTGGATGCTAAACGTGTTCCAGCATTGAAATGGAATTTAAACAACAACTGGTCAGGTCAGCCAGTTTGTAGTCAGCTACAAATGCTTATGGGCTGAGATAATATAGAGAGGGGCCTCATGCTGCCAAACAGATTTACTTTAAAATTCTACATCTCTTTCCAGCATCATTCAGGAACAGGAAGAATCTCCCTTGATGCTCTAAGAAATGTTTTTCTCTCCCCACCCGTTCTTTTGTTTTTTTGTTTTTCACACAAGGGAGGGAAGATCCCGATCAGATGGACAGCCCCAGAAGCCATCGCCTTCCGCAAATTCACCTCGGCCAGTGACGTCTGGAGCTATGGGATAGTGATGTGGGAAGTAGTGTCTTATGGAGAGAGACCCTACTGGGAGATGACCAATCAAGATGTAAGTACTTGCCAAAGCCACTGTATGACAAGTCCCTTGCTACCCGAGACAGAACTGGCGCAGGGCTTTCAGTCTGAAAGTGACCGCTGCTTTTAAAAAGCCCAGTGAAATGATTTTCTTTGCCCCTGAAATTTCTTTTATTGAATGCCCTTTTATGCATTAGCTCAAAACGAGCTTTGCACAAAGAGAAGTAAGTCTGCATGGAGTAAAGACTGTCTCCCTTGACAGACTATTCTAGTGCCACTGTTGTGGTTATTATCAGAGTCCATCAGTATTATGTTTAAAGACGAAGGTCTGCCAAAGGCTGCATATTGATAAATGACATAATTTCAGCTACACTTACAAACTCATCCAGTCAACCGTAGCTAAAGCCCTTTGTTTTCCATTTTTATTTCATTTAAAATTTACTGGGAATTTATCAGTGTTTATTATAAAAATTAAAAAAAATGAGTAAAAATCAGTACAAAAAAGTAACTTCACAGTTTTCTGGGTAAATGTTGAGGTTAATATTGGGGACAGGAGGAGAGGAAAAAAGCAACAAATAGATAAAAGTAAGAGTATTTGAAATAAAAGCAGTGTAAGCTGTGGTTTATTTCATGAACTGTACATATAGATATGCATATGTATCTTCTACTACCTTACCTTACTTTGGCAGCCAGCTCACATTGACACTTGGACTAATTTATTAGTAACATAAACACATCTACCTAATGTCATGTACTGGATTTTCTTAACATAATCCATATTTCCATATACTTGAATGGTCCAAAATTTGGGTGAAAAATCAGTAAAAACTTGCTATCTCTTGTAAGACCTGGGGAATTTTCAGTAAAAACTGAAAACAAAGTTACCTAAGTATAGCTTAATTTTTGAGATCCATCTATATTAGTAAGTACTCGCTTCCTTGAGGGAAAGGGAGTTGATGCGGTGTAATTGATAGGGCTCTTAACCTAGATTCTCTTCCTGCCTCTGCCATTGACCGTGAGCATGACACTTGGTCTCTCTTTCCCCTTCGACTCTTTGTCTTGTCTGCTTTGAAGAGCTTGCAGTCTAAATAAGGATGGTCTCTTATCATATGTAGGTACAGTGCCTAGTACAGTGGGGCCAAACACTCTTTGCTAGGGCTATACGTGCTATTTAGATTGCAAGGTCTTTGGAGCAGGCCCTGTCTGTGTGTTCAGTTTGTACAGTGCCTAGCACAATAGAGTCCTGGTCCATGGCTGGATTCCTAGGCACTAGGGTTATACAAATAAATAATAACAATGGAACAGAGGCTTGGGCCCATCAGGTGCTGAGCATCCACCAAGAATGCTCAGTATCCTGCAAGGTTGTGCTTTAAATCAATGTACCATCAGACTGGCATATTTTAGTCACTGCAGAACATATGCGAGCTGTAGCACCATAAATTTATTCCTGTGGTGAGAGAGATGAATAAAACTAAAGCAAACAAAATGTTTCAGTTAAATGCTGCAAACTCAAGTCCTCTTGTTTTCAGCAAGTTCAAAGAAAAACCCAGGGATATCAATCCAAGGGACCAATCCAACTCCTGTTTAAGTCAAGGAAACTTGAATGAAGGGGAGTTGTATCAGGTTCAAGGGGGTTACCTTGTTTCTCTTTTACCACAATAGCTTGCCTGTGTAATACAGCTTTTTTTTATTCTAAAGTAACTCAAACCACTCTGCAAACTTGGGGCCAGAGTCAGGACCCCTGCCTCCATCAGGGTGAACAGAGCCAGAACAAGGCCTGCCTGTCACATCAGTCCCACTGTGAGCGTGTGTATGTATTTCTCTGGCAGCTGGAAGCATGTGTGCTGTCGTGTCAATAAGAACAGCGGGCTTCCACAGGCTGGTCGAAACACAAGGTGCTACCAGAGACTAAGAAGTCTTAAGCAAAATTTGTCCTTTCACCCCATTGCTGCTGGGGTTCGAGCCATCCCCTCCCCACCTTCGGGTGGCACAGCTGAAGTGCTGATGAACCCTGTCCCTCCCTGTATCCCAGGTTCCAGTTCCAGCCCCAGCCTCTATACCAGGGATCGGCAACCTTTGGCCCGCGGCCCGCCAGGGTAAGCCCCCTGGCAGGCTGGGACAGTTTGTTTACCTGCTGCGTCCGCCAGTTTGGCCGATCGCAGCTCCCACTGGCCGCGGTTCGCTGCTCCAGGCCAATGGGGGCTGCGGCAAGCGGCGCAGGCCGAGGGACATACTGGCCACCGCTTCCCGCAGCCCCCATTGGCCTAGGACAGCGAACCTGCCGCTGTAGCAGGTAAAGAAACCATCCCGGCCCGCCAGGGGGCTTAACCTGGCAGGCCGCATGCCAAAGATTGCCGATCCCTGTTCTATACTTACCACCCTGGCTTTCCCACAGAACATTTTTCCCAGCTCCCTTTCAGCTGGGATCCCTGCAACAGGACTTCTCTTGTCCTGCTTGCCTTCACACTCAGCAAGCCACGGACAACAGCAGCAGCTGCTCCCCTCAGCACACAGAGGACTATATGTAGCCTGCTGCTCCCAAAAGCCCTTGCTTGCTCCCCGCCGGATGCCTTAACTCAGTCAGGTGCTCTCCCTCAGGACTACAAAGCACCCTGAATGCCTGGCCTTAAAGGAGCTCATACCTCACCACAGTAATTCAGGCCAGGTTATACCCTGAAGGGGCCTGCACACCCTGGGTTTTGATTGTGCACTGACTCCATTGAGGCATCTGGCTGGGAGTGAGCAGGGGCTTCTGGGAGAAGCATGAAGATCTCTGCTCTGTGGGGAGCAGCTGCGGTCGGGGGCCTCCTCTGCGTGGGAATGCATTCAGCGTGCAGATCAGACAGTGGGTGAGGTCCCCAGGTGATCCAGTCCACAGTGAACGGCGGGGGGCAGGGTAGTATTCAGTGAAGATTAAAAAATAATGTAATAAAATATAGTCCGGTGCAATTAATCAATGTGATGGATAGAGAGAATATAACTTTAATTTTCATTGGGGAAATAAATGATTTTATATTGTGAAGCGTCAGCAGCAATTCTGCTGTGTGCTGCTGTCCTCTTCGGCCTCAGTAAGTTGTTGAAGAATAAGTTGGTGCATCCTGCCTCACTCTCTGCACACGCTCCAGACCGCACATTGAACCAAGCCGGGGTTCTGCGTAAGTAAGAGCATGCGGCCAAGCGATTAATGACTGTAGGGTAAGGCATAGGCACTATGGGGCCTTTCATGTGCTTCACTTAAGCTTCTGTTCTCAAAGGGGCTCAGAACCCCCAAGCGGAGACAGATTTCCACAGGGGCCCAGCTCCCGTTTAGGTGTGTAGCTAAACGGGGGGACAGTTTTTCAAGATGGTTCCACACCCATCATTATCCTCCAGGGGAGCTGCTTTGGAAAATTTGGCCACGTTACTTAGGTGCCTAACTGAGAGCTGAGCTTTTGTGAAAATCTGGCCCGACGTGACTCCATGGGCAAGACTGAGTAGTGACTGGTCACTAGAATACCAGACCATTTCTCATAATTCTGCTGGTGAGCTGCTTTCTTAGGGTTTGAGATTGTCTCATGAGTTAGATGTTTGGCTTTTTTCTGACACGTGATTTTCAGTCAATAGCAAATTCCCATTTCCTTGCATAGAGAGCGGAACGAATAGGGTTCAAAGCTGCCTGCACCATATTAATTTTAATGGGACTGTATTACTTTTAAGGCCAATATTGTAAGAAACGCTGGTTCACATCCTCCCTCCACGCCAGGATAATCGCTGTAGGGGAGAAAGAAGTCCGGGAAACATAATTCATAGAGTTCCTTTTGAATTCTGCCCTCGTCTGAATCCCATAGCCCAGGAAGAAGCTGCACTCCATTCATCCACAGATCCTCCAAGATACACATGGGTCCCAGGGGCCTGCAGGAGGCATTCATTCCAATTCCCCTTGCCTACTCTTTGCTGCCCGGTTCCTACATATCCCTGCACAGTACTGAATGCAAGAGCGAGGCATAAAAGGCAGTCCTAAAGGGAGTTTCACAACGTGGAAGAAAAATACAGCTCCTCTGGCTCTAGGAACTTTGTGAGACAGGTTGGGAAGACTCTAGCAGAGACAAGCAGGCATTTTATCACTGCCCCTTTCTACCTGCTCCACCTCTGCAGAGAGACTTCTGGGATGAAGGGTGCATGTCAGATGGGCAAAACTCCCCTTCTCCATGACAGCAACCTCCCCCCAGCACAGAGAGGGGAGCAGGAGACCCAATGTTTAAAAGAAAATGGTCTTGTCCATTTGGCGTTAGCAGTTACCTTGACTGTAAAAGTTCCTTTGGAGACTCCTGCTTCTCCCTTATTTTATCTAGTGCCTCTTTCACCATAAGCGACTGTGTGATCACCTGCTGCACAGAACAATCCTATCTGTCCTCCCTGCTCAGCTGTAACATCCAAGCAAAGAATCACAGTATCTTACCACCACAAATAGCAAAAAGGGCAGAGAAAACATTCAAGTAGGCAGACAGTTGTGTGCTATTTTGCTAACTCAGAGCAACTATGACCCTCAGTCTCTCCATCTCAGTTGCTACCTTACTTAAAGGAGGTTTACTATGAAGAACATAAGAATGGACATAATGGGTCAGACCAAAGGTCCATCTAGCCCAGTATCCTGTCTTCCAACAGTGGCCAATGCCAGGTGCCCCAGAGGGAATGAACAGAACAGGTAATCATCAAGTGATCCATTCCCTGTCGTTCATTCCCAGCTTCTGGCAAACAGAGGCTAGGGACACCATCCCTGCCCATCCTGGCTAATAGCCATTGATGGACCTATCTTCCATGAATGTATCTAGTTCTTTTTTGAACCCTGTTATAGTGTTGGCTGTGGGGCTGGAGCACCCACGGGGAAAAATTAGTGGGTGCTCTGCACCAACCGACAGCCAAGCTCCCCTCCCCACCTCCTCCTCTGCCTCCTCCCCTGAGCGTGCCACATCCTCGCTCCTCCGCCTACCTCCCAGCACTGCCCGCCCGGCCGCCGCCAAACAGCTGTTTGGCCACTCCGGGAGGGGAGGGGAG